TTAAATTGCACTAGTCTCTATACATCAAGCTCCATTCATTAAAAAAAATCCTTGATATCATTAATAATACGAGATTGAGGTGTATATCCTACTTGAATCATATAATAATTAACTCATACTTTGACCCAGATAAATATATTTTTTTCTGCAGTCAATATAAGTTAAAATTAAAATTAGTCTTTACCATAACATTTTTATTATAGTGTTTTAACTACCAATATTATTTTATAATTTTTGGGGGCCAGTGAAAATTCTAAAGAAATTGTCACATGTCTATACAAGTTGGGATTTTAGGATCATTAGGTATTCGTTTTACAAAACAATTTAACTAATATTTTCTAAATAAAATATTTATTTTAAGGAATTTTTAAAATTTTGAAATCTCAAAAGAATTTTAATAAATTTTATAATAAAAATTAATTAAATTTTATAATTATATTATTATTTAAATCATAAATATCTAATATCATTAATATGATATATTTAAAATGCCTTTTTTGCTTTTTCATTTTATTTACATTTAAAGAGTGTTTGTGGTAAAGTGTTTGAGAGAGAGTTCTTGCAAGTAGAGTGTGAAGGGATCACAAGGTTACTCAAAGGTAAGAATCTCTTTTAGTTTTTGGTTACTACTCTTCCTTTGTTCTTTCTAGTTGCTCAAGAGAAGATCATGGAAGAAGATCCAGTTCTTTGCCGACACTTAGAGGGTGTGAAAGGGCAGTGGTTCTCTACCGACACTTAAAGGGTGAGAAAGGATGTTGGTTCTCTACCAACATTTGGAGAGTGTGAAATGACACCGATTCTATACCGACACTTGGAGGGTATGAAAGGATGATGGTTCTTTGTCGACACTTGGAGGGTCTGAAAGGATAATGGTTCTCTATCTCACTAGGGTTTGGTGGAAGAGAGAAAAATTATAAAGGCTTCTCCACGTTGCTATGGGGGTAAAAGGAGAATCACTTTGGTAATAGTACAATACCTGAAGAGGGAGTCTTCAGGGAGTGGACGTAGGTCCTGTTGGACCGAACCACTATAAATTCTTGTGTTTATTTTATTTCTGTATGTTTATTTTTAAGCATTTTAGTGTTTGTGGTTAAAATTTTAATTTTACAAAAAAAAAATCAGATTTTCATTAATTACCAAGAGAATTTTTAAAATACCAATTCACCCCCCTCACCCTCTTAGTTAGCCTTGAGACATTAGCATAGGTTTAACAACCTTTACAGACTTTACAAATATACAAAAAGAATATTTTCAATAATAAACCTTTTTGAAATTCAAATCATACCTGATCCCACCACTTTCCAAGTGGTGTTATCATACAGTGTTATGTTGCCTCCTGCCCTAATGTTCAGTATAATGAATTTCTTCAAATCTCTTGTTATATATATTGAACACCCATTATATAAGTACCACATACTCTAACTAAACCTTTTATGAGCTCACCCATACAAACACAATGAATAATTAGATTTGGGAACCTAAGCGAGTTTGTGTTCCACTTTATGCCTTAATGAGTAAGTGAAAAGCATTCTATGTTGTGATGAAAATAATTTGGGTATCCATACAAGATGTGTTATACGGTGTACAATGCAAGTGCAGGCTATATATTATACCATGCCATAAGTATGTCATCTAACACTTGAGAATGGTTTTACTAACCTATGTGGGTGATAGTACATTTTTCTAGAGATATGAGATCCATGTTGTATCTTATGTAGTGGTTGTGAATTCATAGGCCCTTGAGGGTTCTATTGAGATGCATTAAGTTTCATCAATAAACAATTAGATGTAGTTTTCTCATCAGCTAGTTCTAATAAAATTTCAAGCTTCTCACTATCTAATTTTATTCCAAATGACTCTATTTCCTTGAATTCTACTTCTAGTTCAATATATTTCTTGTTTAATTCATCAAATTCATGAACTAGAGAAGCATTCTCCATTTTTAATGCAATGTGTTCAAATTTAAGACTATTATGGTCTTTTTCTAGTACTAAAAAATTAGGTTTCAAATTAGCATACTCTTTCTTTAACTCTCTATATGATTCATGAATTTTCTCTAAAATTTTAAGTAAATCATTGTAAGTAAGCTCCCATACATCTTCTTGATCATATTCAATCATGGCGTTATCAACCATTAAATATTAGTTTGTTACCTCCTCCTTTGATTCTTATTCTAAAGAGTTAGAGGCAAATTCTTCCCAGAAATCCTTCTATATCCTATGCTTCATTTTTTTTTTAATTAGTCTTTTTTTATTCGCTCTCCTAGGAAGGGTAAGTTTTTAGTTTAGGAAAATTTGACCTTAAATCCTCTAGCTTCCAAAATTCAAAGCAAATTACATCTGATAAGCTTTTATTGAATTTACCTCCCTTTCCTTTGCCCTTTTCAAAATGGTGCTTCTATTTGTTCTTTAAGAAGCATTTGAATTTCTTCTTCAAAAGGGATATATCATCATTGTCATATGATTTAAGCTATCTATGCCTGAGTCACCAACCTTCAATTCCATGGTAATCTCCTTTTCTCTCCATCATCATGTAATATTTGGCTTACATTTTTCTCATAGGAAATAAGATACCCAAGTAGATTATCAAATTAGTAAGCATTTAAGTCTTTCAATTCACAAAAATTAGTGACCTTTGCATCAAAATTATTAGGCAGATAATGAAGTATTTTGTTTATTTTTTTAGAATTTGATAGTTCTCTACATAGAGCATGCATGGGTGTCACTGTCTTAATAAATCTTATGTACATGTTTTAGATAGTCTTATTTGGTTTCATGTGAAAATATTCATAATAATTTAATAATCAATTTAAACATAATTGTTTGCCCTTGTTTATACTCTCAAGAGTAATGCATTGTCTATCCCAGATTTCCTTGCCAGTTGTACAGTTAAAGATTCTCATATAGTCTCTTGATTTAAGTGCACAAAAAAACTTTAAATATTTTGCATTAAGTTGTGCATAGTCTCTATCATCATTACTCTATTCATTAAAAGATATTTCAATTTTAACACCATTTATAATTCTATAGGGTACAAAATATCCTTCTTGTATAATATACCACATGTGATAGTTAATTGATTGTAGAAATAATGACATATAATATTTTCAAAAACTAGCTTGAATATTATCAAACAATGGAGGTTGGGTTATTGAATAACCCTCTATAGTGTTTCTATTCCATAGTTATGTTAAGGATCTTTTTCTCAAGGATTTTTAAATAACTAGTTCAGAGACCTGCTTCGATACCAATTAAAAGTTCAAGGTTGTTAAACCTTATTAAAAGAAGAAGGTGAATATATTATTTTAATTTTTTTTTCAAAACCTTTTTTTTGTGAACAATGTTAAAACAAAAACACAAGTGAAAGCAAATATCAATGAACCAAATAAAATTTATATTTTTTTATCTTATAAAAATTAATAAAAAATATTTTTATTTTTTATTTTTCTTTTCAAATTTTTATTTGTATTTTTCCTTGCTCACGTAAAACCATCCAAAATAATCACAATATGATAATCACATATTTGCAAGAAGATAATATTATAAAAATTAAAATGCGAAAACTAAAAGTGTTAATGAAAAGAAACGGGCACACCGAAAATTTTATAGTAGTTAAATTAGCCTTGACCTACATTCACTTTTCAGAGTCCTTTTCTTCAGGTATTGCATTAAATCTTTAGTGAGTCTCCTTTAGCCTCACTTCAAGGCAAAGAAGCCCTTATAAAATCACTTTTATTCTTTCACGGTGAAGCTAAGAACTAGGATCCTTTTCACCCTTATGGTGCGATAGAGAACTTGGAACCATTTCACCCTTCTGGTGATGTAGAGAACCTACAATCTTTGGCCTTAAAGGCTTTCCCCCCTCAGGCAAGATCAATGAAAACATGGAGGAACTTAGACAGAAGCTTGCTTGAAGCAACCACGTGAAATTCCCTCACACTACTCCCTCACACACATGTTCTCCCCCTCTTCCTCTCAAAACTCTATGATCTCTCAAGAAGATAAAGCTCTCACAAAAAATTCTTTCAATAGTCAAAAGACTCTTCTAGAGTCTCTTGAGAAAGTTTAAATACAAGACTTCCAAAAAAAAATCTAAAATTTCAAGTTAGTCATTTATGAACGTATAATAAGAAATAGGATCATACAATGTGATTTTTCAATATATCATGTTAGTACTATACAATAAATAAGGGTCTATACGATTAATTCAAAATTTTGAATTGATTGTACATTATGATATCAAGGGTCATACAATACGATTAGTTTAATCGAATATGATTTTTGTCTCGTCTGATTGCTGTTAGTGAAACATTATCTCAGGAGCTAATCGATCATATTATACAAATAAGGATATCATACAGTACGGCAAATGATTAGGTCCGGTCACGTGGATTGCGCTTTGAGTAAAAAAAGCACAGGTAAAGTGCTGGTAAAGCGCAGTCAAAGCGTACATAAAGCACAGTCAAAGTGTAGTCCACGTGGCAAGTTTTTATTGGATGTCCGGACCTAGAAATAGGTCCGATGACCGGACCTAATAATTTGCCATAGTTCACAGCCAAATTTTCCAAACCCTCAACTCCTTTGTCGGTGGGCAAATTATTAGGTCCGGTCACCGATCCTATTTCTAGGTTCGGATATCAACTAAAAATTTGCCACGTGGATTATGCTTTGAGTCAAAAAAGCGCAGTAAAAAACATAGGTAAACTGCAGGTAAAGCACAGTAAAAACAATACAGTCAAAACGCACATAGAGCACACTCAAAATACATTCAAATCACAGTTAAACGCACAGTTAAAACCCACGTAGAAATAAATCTGCGGACCGGACCTAATAATTTGCCCACGGACAAAGAAGCAAAGGAGGTCATGCGGGAGCTCGCGCCTTCGTCTTCGAGGGTTTAGTAATCAGTCTTTTACGACCCGTTTGGAATGATCGCCCATACTTCTTAAATTTACTGAACAAATTAATCACAAATCGCGCAGGTTCATCGATTTGTTACCAATCTATTTAACCTAGAAAACGCTGACTAGATTTCCCAAGTGCCTGTTCTAGTTTTTTTTTCTCGACATTGGTTTCTCTCCCCTGAACCAGTGCATGCCCTTGTATATACGACCGTTCTTCTACTTCTACTTGTAGATGGTGCACGTAGGCTTCGAACTTCTTCTGATTATTATGGTTTCTTGGGAATATGTTCGATTTATGTTCCTGTACTATTGTGTTCTTTCCAATTCACATTATATAAGTTTTCCGTTTTAGCATTTGTTGAAATATAGAGTGGAAAGAGTGAAGAACTCGTTGGCATATTACTCCAGTAACATCCGATCTTACTAAAATTGTAGGCATCTCTTGGAATGGACTTAAGCGAGGCTTGTATTCTTATCAAGGATAATAGCACATCTGTATTACCCTTGCCTGATGCTTTTCTTGAATTTCTGGAGGAGAATGGTCTGGATTCATCGATATATGTTGGTCTGGATACCATTCCGCGTTATATAAGGTGAGTTTTTGGTCGCTTTGTTCTCCTTTATAGGCTAGAAGCGATCACCATGATTCTGTCAAACACTGTCCAGATAAGCATTTTATCATCTTACAACATTGGAGAAAATAGTTTGTTTCACTCAAGAATGCCTTATGTTAATGAAAAACTATGATGCCAACTGTTATTATTTGGAGTCTTTTCTTGTTTTTCTAATTTTTTTCCCATGTTTCTCCTGCAAAACCATATTTAAAACCTGTTATAATCTAAATTTTTTCTTTGCAAGATTAAAACCTGGTTATGAATGGCAGCTCACAGAGATTGAAACTGAGCTAGATTGCAAGCTTGAGGCAGTAGATTGGCTACCGGGCTTCTTTTTCATCCCATCGCATATTCAAATTGCTGGAACAAAAGCATACAGGTCGGGAAAGGTGAGGTGACTGGTCTGCTAAGTGCACCCTTGATATTAAACTTTACGTTTTTGTGGATTTTGATTATGTCTGGTATTAAATAAAATTTGTATTGGAATGTCACAAGGTCAACTACTTCAAGTAACAAAGGCTTTGAAGTGACTGAACTAGACTTTGTGTCTTGTTTGGCTTGACATGAGCTAAAGATGGTTATTTGAGTTTGCTATGAAGTAGCTCAGTTGTTCTAAATGCAGAATGAAACTTGTAGTACCAACCCAAGGCTGCATCCTGACCCTAGAAAGTCTTAAGTATGATAATTTTAGCATTATAAATCTTTGTACTATGTGCCTAATATCCATCTTGGTAAATCTTGTTTCCTGAATCTTTGCTTTCAAATTATCGCAAGCAACCTAACAATAATTGATGAAAACAAGGAGAAATCAGCAATACGATGCAGAAATTTCAGAAAATTGGAGAGAAAACACAAGGAAACTTTTTCTATTCAATCCACGAACAAGAAAAAAACAAGATAAAAGTTTGTTCAATTCGAGAGGAAGAAACAACTCTTCAAATCTCTAGCAAAGCCTAGAGCCCAAAAGAACAAACCCTAGAACTCAAATCTCTTCTCCAATTCAAGATGAAAAACAAACCCTAGCCAAAAGGACTAATTAAAGTCAAAGGAATCTTACAAAATCCCTAAACAGCTCTTAATTCAAATTTTCCCTCATAAACAACAATTTAATTAAGTAATTTGGCCCCACTAGGACATCTGCCCCCCCCTAGTTCCGCCCCCATGCTTGGGCCGCCGGCTGTAGAAGAGAGCAGGTCCAGGATGTACCGGTTCAGCTGGTCCCTCATGGGCCGGCCTAACATAATCATCCTCCAATCCTCCAACCTCCCTTTATAAACCCACACCATCAAACCACTGATCAACCTCTCCACTCCATTAGTTAAGACATAATCCAACCTCTCAACCTTTAATTCATCTCACAGACCTTATCTCCTCATCAACAACTTTAGATCCACTGTTTACCACCTCATCTCATTCCCCGAAAGATTTTTCCGTTATTTATAACCCCTCATACTGTTGCAGTAAAAATCCCATGGATAGCTAGCTATCGGCCACCCCTTAGCTCCTTGGACCTAATTTTGGGAAAACCTCATCTAGAATTTTTTTTTTGTTATTTCAAATCATTATATTAACATATCATTTAACAAGGCAATTCTAACCTTAGATTGCCACCATCTAAGGGCTACTCACCACTTAGTCATATCTTTGCTTAGGGTCTATCATCCATATAAACTTTCAGAGGACTAGATTTTCACCGCATATGATGGAGGCATTTAGAAGTTTTTGGTTCAGCTTCTTTTATCACGTGAGGATTCGTGGAGTATTTTTGATGAGTTGCACTAGATGAGTCTACAATGGCTACAAAAGCACTTGGAATTTCATTCTACGGGTGTCATCACCATCCGTTTGTGTAGTTTCATATACTTAAGACATGTTGTTGTAGTTTTCTAGGACTTTTGAGTCTTGTTATTATTTGGGTCTATATGTGTTGGGTCATTTCTCATTTAATGGGAATGGTCATGATGGGTCTTTAAGTTATGGGGCTTGATGGTAGGTATGCTAGTGGTTGCAGGTAAATGTTTGGTGGTAGATTTGAATTTTGTGGTATGTTTATGACTTTTAGTCTCTCCTATTTATCCTTATAAATATGAAGTATCTTGTACGATAAGTTGATTATTGAATTAAGAGCTGCTTTTTAAGTTTTCTACTCTTCTTGTGTTTTTCACTCCTAAATGGAAGAATATTTGAGTGTTTGAGTTTACAACTCTTAGAGAAGAACTTCTAAGGAAACAAGGAAATCCTTGCAATGATGGATTATTCATAGTGGTTGACCTCAACTTATCCATACTTTACGACTGATTATGTTTTATCCATCACAGGTCAATTCATCCAAAGTTTTCATAGAAATTAAATATCTAGGGTGGTTAACAAAAGTTTAAATCATCTCGCCTTTGTCGAGCTCTTTTATCATATTTGTATATAGTATTTTCATGTTTATTATCGTTCACTCATAAATTAGTTAAAGATCTATCAATGTAATCATGTAGTTTGAACTCATCTCATAGTAGATTATACTCATTCCATATTAGTTTACAATTGTCCTATATTACACTACCTCATCTAGTTTACTATTGTTTAGTTTTTTATGTTGAATGTGCTTTTTCAATCTTGACTTCCAACTTCACCTAATGTGGGAAACTTATAGTACTCTAATGCATAACAATTCCGCTCAGATTTATGGAATGGATGCAGCATCAGGGGCTGCTGTCATGACCTTGAATGTGACATGTGGAGATCATGTCCTTGATTTGTGTGCAGCCCCAGGTACTTGCGTACTTTAATTCTTTTGTTTATGTGTGGTTTTTCTTTTGCCTTTGTCATGTACACTTTAATATGATAGGTCCATGTTGTGGTCATGGAAATATTTAATATTAGGAGCACGGGATGTATATTTTTCTTGATATTAACTTCGACTATTGTAGCATCATATGTAGTAGTGGGAAAGCGGTGCAAAAGTGAAACTGTCCTGGATTACAATAAAATTTGAGCAAGGATGTCTGACTTATAAACATGCATTAGTTCAAGATTTTTTTTCTCATTATTGATGTAAGTTAATATCAACATCCAAACTTTGATTTATTATAGCCTTTGTAGTTTAGTGGAGTGGTTCTTCACTCTGCAAAGAAACTTGGTTTTCAATCTCTGCCACGCCACTGCTCATGTGGCAACAAACTCTTTCATGTTTCATTTTTCTCATCTTCTTTTATTCTTGCTCCCTTAACTTTTTTATTCCTTTAAGTACCTCAGTTTTAACGCATCTATAATTTGACTTTTGAGAAAAATATATATTTTTACAATAAATAAGTAGATTCAGTTGTAGTGTGTTAACTGCTAATTGTAATATAAATATATGATCACATGGACTTATTTATATGTGAATCTCCTTATGTTACATAAAATTAACGTAGTTTTCTCTAAACTACTTACTACACAGATTAAAAATAAGATATTTTAAGGAATACATATCTCAGCAAAAGCATAGTCAGATTTTGACGAGTATGAGATTTAACACCAGCTGGCCACATGAACATTGATGTGAAAACAACTTAAGTTTAGGTTTCTTTGTGTATTCAGAATTGTAGCGTTTAGATACATGAGTTCTAAGAGATCTGGCTAGAATTAGTTCATGACGTGCCAATATTTATTCAGGTTGTGTTAATATTTGTTTAAGTTTGATTTTGGCTTAGGACCTATGCATTTTATCTCTTCTACAATTCTGAATACGAATTTGAAAAGATTTTAGTTAGCCAAACTTCGATGAGGAAATGCCACTAAAATAATGAAGTCACCTTTGAAGGTTGGCCTCTTCCTGGAATTGTTGATCCGCATTTATTTTGTAAACGGTAGATGTTACTTTTACTACATACTGTCATGGGTTTTCATTTTGATTTATTTGGTTTGAGAGTTCTAAGGTCGGCGACAATTAGGTGACTTTGACCAAGAAAATCTTCATGATTTTGTGATTGGACCAGCCATGTTTTAGCCTTTAGACCAGAACTAGGAAGTCGGCTTCATTTGTCTATCCAAAGTCATAACCACAATTGTTGGTGGGTTCTAAAATATCTTGTGATAGTGGAAATAACATGTGGTTTTAATGTATATTTTTGCTATTTCCCCAACTCATCTAGGACGAATGATGCTGTATTAATATACCCTGGCATACAGCAGCAGAGTAGGTTCACAATTTTTTTGACTAGATCTTTCGGAAATCTCACTTTATCATATTTGACTAGAATAAAAATTTGTTGTACCATATTATTATGATTCTTTTAGTTTGTCTAATTTACTTCACTAGGTGATGTAGGATGGTTTAAAGTTAGTATTTTTTAATGCAACAATGTAATGCATTATATGTAATCATGTTGGAGAAATATTGTCAATCATTCTCAATGGATTGAGATATTTTATAATTGAGCACGACATAGAAAATAATATATTATTCCGAATGAAAAATATTATTTCGTTGTGGACTGAATAAATGAGAATTTGACTTTTAATAGGACACAATAGAGAAAAAGGATTCATGTAGCCGACCCCATGTAGTGGGATGAAGGGTTGTTGTTGTTATTGTTGGACTGAATAACAAAACTCACAATTTTATATTTTAACAGAGATTATTTATTAGTCAATATTTGACTGAATATGATTTATTTTATTCTGGGATGCAGATGCCTAATAGGGGAAAGCTCTTATGGTTAATTACATTTCAAATATTTATTACTTGGTAATACTTTTGATTAAACTAGTGGTTTCTTTATAATCATTCAAACATTGGCTAATAATTTTTTTTTAGTTTGATAAATTCTTGTTCAAATATTTAATCTTTGGGAATTTTAAAGAAGATGTAATCAATTGTAAATTAGATTTTTGAGGATGAAAGGAAAAGTGAATAAAATGTAGGAGCACTTGATTCTGAGAAATTCAAAGGTGCTCAAACTATCATATGTTGGATTTTATATTTTAAAATTAGAATTTTGTTTGAATTTATCAATTTGATTTATAATGTTGGAGTTTATATTCTAACAACCGAGGCTGAGGGAAATGTCTAAAATGTGAGGGTTTATGAGGCGATTGGAGTCACCCTCAGCCTCGAATCCTAGATTTAAGGTAAGGAATACTGAGGAGCAGTGCTTCAAACCTATGTCTAACAGAATGCAATGAACTTACAAAATTAACCTCACATGAGGCTAAGTTAGCCTAACCTTTGAACTTACAACCATGCCTAAAAAGGGCCGCTAGCTAAATCCACGTAAACGCTTTTAAAATTATGTAGTTTGGTTTTGATGTATGTTGGATAGGGAAGACTGTTTTAATTTATAAGGTGGGGCTTACAAGTACCTGCGGATGGGGGGGCGGCACATGCCCCTCTTTTAAGTGATTTTTGCACTAATTCATTCGGTTCTAACGCTTCGACCTCGAGCTCATACTCGTCTGCTCCTCTCCCCCGACCTTGACCTCAGATGCACGCTGCTCTCCTCTGCTATGAGCCTAGACTTGCTTGACTTTCGGCTCCTCTCTCTCGACCTCGACCCCAGCTGCGAGCCTAGACCCATTACTAGGTCAATTATCACTTGTCTTGGTTGTCCCGTTGTGTTTTAAGGTGATTTAATATTCGATTGAATTCAAGGTATACATAATGTTTGCAATGTGAAAGCTCTCACCTTTTCTTCATAGGTTTCTCTTTTCGTACAGTCTGAAGCTGATGGGTTGCGGAGGAGGTTGAGATTGAAGGTATTGATTTTTCTGTGATTTGAAGTTTGTTGCTTGGTTTGAGTTCTTGATGTTCTGCTTGGGTTTATACTGACTGTTTGAATTTTGTTGATTGCTCAGTTGTTGGATGGGGGAAGTAGACTAGATGATCTTGGTTGGATGTTTTTTTTTAGCATCTAAAAAAATTCATTATACATGTTTGAGAGATTTTGCTTCTTCATGCACATGGTTGTTTGTGCTATTATCGGTTGGGCAACCAAAGGTAAGGTAGGCAGTTTAAACCTTACCATTATCTTTGTTAGGCTTATAACACCTATTCAGAATTAGCATGATGAATTCTTCTTCACCAAGCTTTTTGTTGAGCATTATATGAGGTGTTAACCCTACTTTTAGATAACTGCAATTCTTGCCATAGTTGGAGTTCCTCCCCACCCATTTTTGTTGAGCATCGATAAGAATTCAGTTAGAAAAAAAGAATTTAAAGATGTTTTTTTTGTGCATTATTGACGAAAAATATATATGATTATTTGGATTGGAGCTTAATCGTTCCTTTTCATTGGAGAGCTTGGTGGTGAATAAATCATCTACGTACATATACATATTTAGAACTTTAACCTACTTTATAATGCTATCATCATTGTTGGTAATCAATGCATAGAATTTTTGCATTCTTTTTTTTTTTAAATTATAGGTTTGAACATCTATAGAGAGATATTTTAAGAGGTCATCGAATTCAAATACATCAAACCTATAGTTGAGATTAACAAAAAAGATGAAGAGCAAAATGGAAAATGCATTCAAGTAGAGATATATTTGTCAAAAAACTTCAAATTAAATGTTAAAAATCTTCAATCAGATGTGGGATTATGGATTCCTATTAGTGAGTTTAATTCAAACATTTGAGATGAAGTTTGTAGAGCATATTTACAAAGAGGGTAATCTTAGCCTCGTAGTTATGATTTTTCAAAAAGTAAAATTTGAATCAAAGATAGATGTTTTGATCCTACTTGGTTTAACAAGTACTCTGATTAATTAGAATATAGTATATATAAAGATAAATCATATATTGTTATCTTTTCAGAGCATCCGGTAGAAACAACGAAGATGATGATGCATTCAATAAAAATAGATCTTCAAATTGAAAGAAAAATCAAACTAATTTGACTTCATGTGAAAAGCCATAATAATATTCATAATAATGCAGGGCGAAGGTGTGAGAACTTAATGAAACAAAATCTATATTGCTTTTGTCTTCCAGAAGCAATCATATAAAGCTGCGATTGCATATCGCACGCGACTAAATACTTTCGTTGATTGCATAAGGTTTCTTTTAAGACAAGCAAATACTGATTTCTTTTGTTTAGTGTTTGTTTGAATTCTAATAATGCATTTTATGATTCAATAAAGACAAGTTGATTATGATAACATAATTTTATCCAGCTGATTTTACTCCATTTAATCAGGCGATTCTTGAAAATCAGTTGGACACTTATATTATAGATATGCGATATGATGAATAATTTTCTTTATTAAAAGATATATGAAGTCTTGCTACAACCAAAGAAATTGGCATTAGTATTACCTTTTATAACAACAAGAGTCGAAAAAGCATTGTATTGCTTGTGCTTTTAGTTTTACTGATTGAAGGATGAAGCTACAACCAAAGACCTCTGTTTATTTCAGCCCTAGGTAGTCGCTCGGTTTGGCATATTTGCATAGAAGAAGCCTCTTGATCCTCCCAATTGGTCGCACACAGAGAAGAAGACATCTCTTGCCCTGCTTGGCACTAGCGCACGTACATGGAGACTTCGTCTCGTGTTCAATCGGCCCAGGAACGCACGTTGATTTGGCTCTTTGTGAGCTAGAGTTTATTTGAATTTGTCCACCCTGACAGACAGTTTCGGATGGTGGATGGGCTTTGCTTTAAGTGTCGTGATGGATAGTTTCATTTTTAAATATTTTTGGAATTTTGGATGGGATTTTGAGATATTTGGATTTTGTGGAATTTTGGGTATTTGGGTGGAATTTGAAAGTGTTTGGAATGGACCCCTCCG